TGCCACTTACTATTTGTAGTTCCAGTGTTTGGTGCCAGCAAATAACCCAGATAATATGTTACTTGTATGCTTATTCTTACATCCTGGTGCAGATGAAGTTGTAGCCTTGATACACTACAAGTCTGTAGCAGTTAATACCACTGATCTTCTCATCTAACTAAGTTATTGCTTCTTACTCGTGCTCAACTCTTGCTTCAGTGGGTTTTGAAACTGAAAATCCTTATTGCATTACTACAAAGTAGTAATTTCTTTTCAATTCCACGATGTCATTAACACCATACTTACTTTTAAAAGCTGGCTATATATTTGCTTAATATTAGAGCCATATTCTAGATTATCTCAGCCTTGAGTTCATCTTTCCAATATAATGGTGTCTTTTTTTTGTGTGTGTGTGTGTTAAAGTTTGTTTTAAATGGCTGTAGAGGTTAATACGAATAGGAGTTGAACAATCTGCTGCAAAGGAGCATGTCAGATGCTCCATGCTGACTCACATTTGCACTGTGGTAAATCTAAGAAGTAATTTATGTTGTAATGAAAGAAGGGCAAAAACCATGGATATTGTTAATGAAGTACAGCAGCTAGAAAGCTGTAACAAGTTTCTCTGCTTGGGTTATGTGTCAAAACTCATCCTTCATATATATATATATGTATTTAATTTACTTTTTGAAGTCCAGTAGTTCATTTGAGGTATTTGTGGCCTTCAGGATGTAGTTTCCTTGTGCATCATCATCTTGTTATTCACCCAGTGATATTTGGAGCTTATTCAAAATACATTTTTTCTTCCTCGAGGTTCAAATTCCAAGTAGTTTTTCATCTGTGACCTAAGGCAACGCTGCATTATCTTCTATTCAAATATTTGAATTTCAAACTTCAGCCCAGCCAATTTTACTGACTAGTTCCTGTACAGTTGGGTACTAGTTCAGTACAGAACGATAATCCGTGGAATTATCTTCACACTTGGAATCACTTAAATAGTATATTGTATCTCAGTGTTGAGTATTACATTGTAAAGTTAAAAAGGAAAGCATGCTTGGATTAAGCCATACGCTGAGGTCCTATCAGACCTCAGCCAAAATTAAATACCATGTTGCTGTGGAAGATGTTCTGAAAAAAACAGGAAGCCCAAGTTCCAAATCCGCTTTCCAAATTTGCTCTCCTCTTTTAAAAGGAAGTAATTTCACCAGTGAGCTGAACTAACTTGGGTGTGTGTGCATATGTTTGTGTGTATAGGCATGTGTGTATATATTTTCATATATATGTATGATATTACCCACAGCATCAGTCAAGGTTTTCTTTATATATTTCATATATGTATATTAAATCAATGTATTTATGAGTATATTTGTGATTATTGTGTTAAATACATTGCATTCTATTATATTTATAATAGCATATATAAATATATAGACTATAAATAAAATCTTGACTGATACTGTGGGATTGATTTGAGAAAGCAGGTTGCTATTAATAGCCAGTTACAGTTATCGTTGATTATATTCTGAAAAAGATGAACATTTCTTCTTAAAAGATAGTGAAGGACCTAAATGAATTATCTGTTATAGAGGCATATAAATCCATACAAACATTGTCTATGAAATATCAACTGGTCTGTGGAGGCTCTTTCCCAAGGCCTGATATTAAGAAGTATCCCTAGAGTGAAAAGAGACAACAACAAAGCTTGTTTCCTGCTATGTAGGACAGTTGGGATTCAGCTGCAGTGGATGGTCAAGGTACGTACCATGAGCAGGGCAGCCAAGCAATCAATGTCCAGTACGAGCCTCTTGACCTGTTTTCCATGAAATCTCCTCCATTAAGTCACAAAACAAAACAAACAAAAAAAAAAAAATAAAAAAATAATAAAAAAAAAAAGGCACCCAAGCAGGGAGTAATGCAGCGGTGGCAATCACACTGTCATAAAATAATTTAACCAGTTATATGCTCAACAGAGATGTATGTGATAGTGGAAACTGGTCGGTGGGTTGGTTTTTATGAGCTCAGTAGAACTGGACTGAGACCAGTAAGAAACAAATCGCGTGGGGTCATTGCTTTTCTGTGACGGTCCAAGTCAACCCTGTGTTAGCCAGCAACCTAAAGCCAAGCAGGTTCTCTGCCTCCCTGCTGGTGCCCTTCATTCTGACCTCCTCTAAGCGATACCGATGGCATTTTTTCTGGGTATGTATTACAGGCAATATAAATGGTTGATAACTCAGGGTAGCTTTTTCCTTTCACTCTGGTTGTTGCTGACATTGTCAGCTGTCACTGACCTTTCCTCGATTGCCAGCCTGTATTTCCTCGTAGTAAAGGGACTTCTGAAGAAACACGTGATAAATATAGATATGAACACTTACCTTGTTTCTAACACGCAAGGGACTATTTCACTTTGCTGATAGGACCTCCATGCCCGCTAATGTCCCATGATTTTTCTCAAAAAGTGCTTAGGCAGCTTTTACTCTGAAAGCAATTTATGTTTGGAGCTATGTAGCTGATAATTTTTTTCAAATACTGCCTCAGAAATATGTACCTGTTTTGAAGTGATCCAGAACTCCAGGCTGAGTCTGAGGATAACTGACAAAGTCTGAAGCAAATAGCTTAGGGTGCTAACAGGTGTCAGTTTTGAAAGCAAGGTGTTGAAAGCAAGATACTGGGAAAAGATGATCTAAGTGGGTCAGTTGAGCTAAATGCTGGGTTAGTCAGTGCAATTAACTCTACTGAAAGGCTCAGATGTCTGAGTATTGAGGGAGTTTGGTAATCCCCAATGCTCAAAATCTGCCAGACTTGCATTTCCACAAACTGGGGACATTGAATACCGTCCAATGTGTTACTTTTTTTTTATTTATTGTTACGCTCTCATAACCTGACTCATATCTGGTTTTTGTTGGGAAACAGAACTTCTGTTGTACAATAAAAAATTCACAAGGTATTTATGATATAATTTTTAGTTCTTAAGGAATCAAACTTTGTTCCATTTCCAAAGAAAAAAGAAAAGATTTCCAAGTCCATTTGAAGTGAAACTGAAAGATAAGCATTATCTACTGAGACTTAGATTACGTTAGTATCATTAGTTACTTAGATTACATTAGAGACTTAGATTACATTAGTGTCAATGTTTCAGAATAGACAGCACCAGCTAGAACTCTGCTTGTCAGTGGTTTAAGCGTGACAATTAACAGCTTGGATAAAACACATTATAATTTAATATAATTTGCAAACAAAAGACTTGCACAAATTTATTTTTTTTTCACAGGATATCTTACTCAAATTAACAGATAAGTGAGCATGTAATATAATGCATATAATATGAAACAATATATAGTTCAGCCTTTTAATCCTTTTTATAATCTGTCATTTGTTACCTAACATTTCATAACTTCTAGTTGTTACAAAAATATTATTACATAAGGACCTGATTGTTTGTGTAGTGCTCCTAATCTCCTCTGGCATTTATATAGGAGGGCAGGACCCTTTTCAGGAAGTTAAGCTAGCAATCATAAGATCATGAGCAATGAAGAAACTTGGAGGAGACCAGAATAAGAAGGAAACTTCTTGCATGAATGAGGCTGGTATTTGCAGCATTAATCCTGCAGAATGAAGGGTGGAACCACAACTGTGTGTTGTCAAAGTGACACCTAGGAATTCACTCTCACACAAATCATTGGGAGTAGCCCTTTGATAGCTGCTGCTTGAGAAGCTCAGCCAGCAAGACTAAGGCCTTTCAAATCAGCAGACCTTCAATACATTTTGTCACAGGGTTTTGTACAGTCCCTGTTACATTTGTATGCCCTCTCTTAAAACGGGCTGTCTCTTAGCATGATCTTGGCTTCAGATATAAGCATGGGTTAAGTCACATACTTGGCATTGGGAGCAGAAGGGAGATGGCAGCTTGGTCACAGTGATAGTGTCTGACTTCAGTGCTCACCTGTAATATACAATATATTTAACGTTAATTAACTAATGTCCAGTTTTGCCTCAGGTGCAAAATTTTGAAACATCACTTTTATAATAACAAATAATTTTTCAGTTTTTTAGCAAGCCATTGATTATTGCTCTGTTGTATTAACACAGGCACAATGTGACAAGCGCTTCAGTTCTCCCATATCTAAAGAAGACCAAAAAGTGACAATCTGTCATAGGAATACCAAAGTGAAAATCTATGGGCTGATGGTTAGCAGTACTCTCTTGGTGATGCATCACAGAGGTCTAGGATAAAATACTTTCCCATCCTCAGATAGTAGCTGGCAAAGAAATAGTAAATCAGATTACTGGTCTTAGGTCACAAGTGCAAGTCAGCCTAATGGAAATGAAGTGTGAAAAATTCCTCCTCCAAATCCTCTAGCAGCTGGTGGCGCTTTTGTGAGACTCCCAGGTATGTGCCTCCCAGTAACGTGGTACAGCAGCTCTGGGTATCGACTGCAGTTAGATAATCAGGGCAGCTTTTGTAGCTCTTAAGAGCTCTGTCTCACACTAGTGCCCCCAGATTTTTGGTTTGGATAGCTTGAATTAGCTGAAATGATTTAGTGAAGAATGATTTAGTGAAGAAAAAGGTGGCTTTGGAACTGCTGTGCACAAAAAAAGACCTCCTCTTCATTGCTCACCTAACACCAGCTGGTAAGCTTCTGCAGCAATGACAACTGCTGGACTTAGGCGAAGGTACAGCACTGTGGAGCTGCTGGAGGAGTGGATGCTGACACGAGGTACATGAAAGATTATTAAGGTCATACAGCCGTTGGCCGATTTCCTTTGCTTTCAGAGTGGCAGCTTTTGGAATGAAAAGCAAAATATTTGAACCCTGCCCCCACCCCTGTCTGTGTCACATTATACAACACCAGCACAAGGATACCTAGGATCAGGACCATCCTTATGGTTTATTGGGATTTTCTATTAGGAAGATATTTGAACCCTTCAGATGAACCATATAAGCTGTAGTGCTTATTCTCATTTCTGTAATTATTGCCAAGTTTCAGGAAGCTCAGTGAATTGATTCTTAATATATATTGCCTTAACAATATGTAGGCATTGCGTTAAAGCGCTGCTTGAAAAATCTTCCAGCCAGAACACCGTGACCTTGCTGAGCCACCACGAGGGTACAGCAGGAGCTTTTTGGTTACGATCGACTCTGTGCCAGCAGCTGACTCTTAGCCTGCTTTCTCTGGCCGATTTCCTACACGCCTGAAATCCTCCTTTTAGTTCGGAGTCCCTCCTTTAAAAAGCGGACAGGGGAAAGCAGCACTCTCCCTCCTACAGCTCCTGGGCCGAAGGGAACCTCGCTTCCCCCGGCGGCCCGGCTGCGGCGACCCCCGGAGCCCCTCTCCGGAGGATGAGCGGCGGCGGCGGCGGCTCCCCGGCGGCCCCGAGCCCGGCCCTATCGGGCCGCGGCGCTCGCATCGCCGGGGCCGCCCCGGGGCTGCTGGACGAGGGCTTCGCCCTCTACCTCGCCGACCCCTTCGACAGGGAGCGCAACCCTGAGGTGCGGGGAGCGGCCGCTGCGCCGCGGGCGGGCTCGTCCCCGGCGCCCCTCAACGGCTTCGTCTCTTCCAGGGCGTGCTGAACCTGGGGACCAGCGAGAACACGCTTTGCTTTGATCTGATAGAGGAGAGAGTAAGTGCTGCTGCTGCTGCTGCTGCCTGCCGGTTCCCCCCCGTGTCCGGGTGACAGCCCAGCACTGGGAGTCACCTGCAGGGCAAGGTGCCAGAGTCACCCCAGATGTGTTAATTCCGGTTTATCTGCTGGAAAGCGAGATGTTCCGGCTCACTTGCTAGCAAAACTAAGCCCTAGCTGCCAGACCATCTTCTGCAGGGTGCAATGAACCTCTTGCTTCTCCTTCCTATTTACATGTGGCGGTGCATTCACACTGGTGCAGCTGGCGGCACACCGGCAGTGCTGGTCGTGGAGGATTGTGCATCAGTTGGCAGGGCTGGAAACTGGAGAGGAGCTTTTACTTAGGAATAAACCAAAACCGATGCCACAATGAGTGTGAGACAGAGCCAGTTTTCAGAAGAGATACCTGCTCTGAGAGCAAGAAGGACGCTACTCATAATACAGCTGTTTTCTTAATGCTTAGGGTTACTGCCACTGCTTGTTGAGAAGCTAATCAAAGCCGTGTGCATTAAAGGCTGATGTCATAAATACTGAAAGAGTTGTCTGGGCTTTGATATACCTCAGAAGTGGATGTATCATCACTGAATTGCAGCTAGTGTGCTTCTCCTCAACGTGACATTCTAGACTTGATTTAGTATGTGACAGAAAAAAAGATGATAAATAATTCCTTCGTTATTTTCTTTGTTTTTATGAGGTTCTAATGTTGTTTTACAGTATCTTAAAAAAGAGAAATTCAAAGAATGAACATAATTTTAAGTCACTATTTTTTATATTCTGCATTTCCTTATTGTTATTGAACAATTGAGGGGGGGGGGAAGTGTGGTACAGCAGAACAGCAACTCCCAAGAACGCCACCTTCTACAGTGTCTCTCTTTCATATAACTAGCTCACAAGACCTGACATGAATTATCTGCAGCCTGATCTCTTCCAGTATTCTGATGCACAAGGTATTAGAAGGTGAGAAGTTCATTTTCCCATTTTTGACACTGCTTGTGCTTAGCGCTGGTCATGGCTCATGTGAAGCGAGGTGTGGTTTCGTTCTTTGGGTAAGCCCAAAGGAGAGGTGTGTTAATGTTAGTTGCGTGCTCACCAACTTTTTGTTTGCCTGGCTTTTTGTTCTGTCTTCCTCCCTGTCCTTACTGTGCTAAAAAACACCCAGATCTCCAAAGGTCAACAATCTGGTGTCTCACTGGAGTGCAAAAGAGTGTGTATTTCTTCCAGAGCTAGTGATGGGTTGCTCCTAGAAGGATGTGTTCTAGGCATAGTGAGGGGAAACTGGAACTGTATGGGCTGCGAAGAGTAGAGGTGAGGTATCAGCTCCCTGAGGATCATCAGAAGCTCCACCGTGGTCTTTCCTAGGGCTGAAATCCTGATCTAAAGATTCTCGTTTACTCAGGTTCCACTGCTTCTGGTACCCAACCCCCTGGTCTTTCTTCAAAAACATATCCCACTTAGGCTCAAATATGCTTCTGGATTTTCTTGTTTTTCCAGTGTGCAGAAATAGTAGTTGAGTCACAGTCACTTTACTCAAGGTAGCAGATGGCTCCTGTGTGCTGCTGCCTCACAAAATGTAGCACGCTGGATAGCTAAGGAAGTTATATGTTATATTGTCTGATCTGTAGGAAATAGAAAATATTGAAGGATTTTATAACAGAATGAATTGCATGTTTGTTCTTTTTTTTTTTTTTTTTTTTTTTGTAAACTTAATTCTTTTGTGCATTTTTTTTTTTCTGAGAAATATGTAATTACATAGTTGACTTTAATTCTGTGTTTTAGCTTCAGAGAAGAAATTGCCAAATTTCTTACTGATTATGCCAGAGCTGCAAAAGAACTTAATCCAGAAAATGTAAGACAACTGCTTTATCTTTGCATCTTATTTTTTCTGAAACTGGTAAAGATGAGTTAATCTGAACACAAATGTCAGCAAGATACTAGAGTAGAGAGAAATTCCAGATTTGCAGAAGTCTTGGTAGTGTTAATTTTCCATTTGAAAAAGTGGTCAATGCCTAACAATCAAGCGCTTCATATGATAAGTGTATTATTGTGGCTTTTTCACTCTATTATTTTGAATTTAGGCTAAACAGGAGTTGATATTTTTGCTAAGGAAAGCTTGGTGCGCTTTTTTCAGATAACTGTTATGAATGGCTGTTGTGCTGTTTTTGCTACTTTGTCAACTGTATTATGTGACCCTGGTGGTGAGTAAAAACCTGATTATTTTTGTTTGAAAGCATTTAAAAAGTGAATATTAAGAGTATTGTGACTTATGACAGCCTGTTTTTATTATACCTGCCTGAATGAAGCAAGGTGTGACATTTGTTTGTCCCTAGCAGGGTGTCTTTGAATTAATGCCTTTGATTATTTCTAGAAGGGTCTGAGGTATCAGCAGACACACTTGCTTTCTATACAATCTATAGTTTTCTGAGAAAAGTGTTACAGGAAAAGAAGGGTATGAAGAAAATGCAAAGTGTACTTAGAGAAGTTATGAGAAGACATGGGACCCACGATGAAGCTGGAGGGAGTAGGTACACAGGGAGGGAGGTGGTCTGGGGTGGAATCCAGGACCTTGAGAAAATTTGGGTAACTGGGTAAAGGAAGCACATAGAAGGAATTGGGGGAAGGAGAATGGAGCTGCAGCAAGAGAGGGCTTCCCAGTCAGGAGCAGTGGTGAGGAGGAAGAAGAGGTGGGGATGGGAGGCAGGAGCAGAGGCCCGGGCTGCAGCCTGCTGGCAGCAAGCAGACAGCAGGAGGACAGAGCCCTGCAAGGGAAAATGATTTTGGACCTCAGTGGTCCAGAACGAGGAAAGCTGAGTAGGTGTGTGGCACAGCAGGCAACAGGGAACATCCATGAAGACCTGCCAGAAAAGGAGGGTGCCCAGGTGAGTTACTCCCATGCCTTATAGCACCCTACTGTTGGACACCAAGAGCCCTTGACAAGATTGTGGAGCAATGTGATGTGGTTCAATGACTTCAGCATAGGCGATAAAATTGCATGAATACAGGCAGCATGCTCTGTCCTCCCTGAAACCTTCTTACATGGGGCCTTTGCAATATTTTCAGGAGAACACCAACCTGGGGCTACTCACAAACATATAAAATGAGGAGGGAAACAAGCTTGGCAGAGCTGTAGGCTTCCTTGGTGCGAGATGGCACTCTGGCAGCCAGGAAGTAGTTCAGGTTTGCAGCAGTTCCTGATGAAAAATTGATAGAACATTAACAAAATACCTAGAGCAAGATCGTTATTTGTCATTATCAATAAAATAAATAAATAAATAAATAAATAGCACAGCTAGTTGACTAGGTCTATTCCCTTTTACTTATGCAATTTACATGACCAAATTTGTATCTGTTATTAAAATTGCTAAGGAAGAAGACTGGGAAACAATTTGGGTTGACTGGCAAGTACTAGATTTTCCATTTTGTTTAAAAACTGCTTTAGGCCACAGTGCTTTGAGATTAAATGCTATGTCAAATTCTTAGACTGTCATTTTAGTCTACTAGAGTGTAACAAAATTGCTCATGAGAAGTGTTAATTTCATTTTTTAAAATATTTTTAGATGGATATCTTATTCCAGCTCCTTACTATGGTGGTATAAATTCAAAAATGTGGTTATATGGTGAACTACAGCCTGTTCATGTGCCCTTGTTCAGTGAGGTAATGTTTTGGCTTTTTGGCTATTTGTATACTTTAACAGACATTTCACAAGGAGCAGTACAAAAAAAAAAAAAAAAAAAAAGGGAGTACAAGGGAAAAAAAACAGGCCCAGTCTATCACTTTTAGAGAGTGTCTGCCTTTTTTTTTCCAGACTGCAGCATGACAGGAGGCTGGTGTGATCAGATGTGTAGGATTACATTTCTTCTCTGTAAGACAACTCTTACATGTTGACATGCTGAATTATAATTTGTGAGCTCTAAGTCTGTTATTCCTACTAAGAGGAAATTCGTTCAAAGGATTTTTTTTCCCCTTTTCCCCTTACCGAAACATGCATCTACTGCAGAAGGTGTGTGACACTGGTTCCCCTTTTGAGAGCTCAGTAACCCAAGAAGCAAGTCAAAGGGGCTTATAGGTAGCAAATGATGCATTCAGGGAATAAATACATAAATAAATAAATAAATAAATAAAATGAGGTTTCAAGTATGCACGTGCTGTAAGTTGCTAATGGTGTCGTCTTGGGTATGCGCAATGTTTTACAACCAAATAGTTATACAGAAAAGACTGCTCTTAATTTCATATTCTGAGATGTTGTTTGAGCTGCTGTTTTCCTCCTTGAACCAGTGCCATCAAAAACTTTTGTTTGTTTAACAGTTTTGTTTTACGAAAGCCAGTATCAAGTATATTTTCACTAGGTGGAAGTGTTTCTTCACTGTCTTCTTTTTTTGTTCCTGCTGATTTTTTTTCTCCTGTAGGTGACTGATGAAGAAAGTCACCCTTTCCAGTTAACAGTTGAAAAATTGGAAGCTGCATTACAGAGAGCTAAAAAGCAGGTAACAATAACAGTGAATTCTGATTTTCGCATTTCCCTTATTTTGTAAGCAGCGTATGTTCTCAGTATTGAACCATTGGTACATTTTCATCCGTGCAGATTTTCTGTCATGTGACAAGGGTGGGTCCAGCTCAGGCAACAGGAATTTGATTTATTTTTATAATCTGGGCAAAATGCAATAGCAAAATGCAGAGACACTCCTTGCTCAGTTGTATGAAGAACAGATCATAGAATCATAGAATCATAGAATATCCTGAGTTGGAAGGGACCCTTAAGGATCATCAAGTCCAACTCTTGACACCGCACAGGTCTACCCAAGTTCAGACCATGTGACTAAGTGCACAGTCCAATCTCTTCTTAAATTCAGTCAGGCTCGGTGCAGTGACCACTTCCCTGGGGAGCCTGTTCCAGTGTGCAACCACCCTCTCTGTGAAGAACCCCCTCCTGATGTCAAGCCTAAATTTCCCCTGCCTCAGCTTAACCCCGTTCCCGCGGGTCCTGTCACTGGTGTTAATGGAGAAAAGGTCTCCTGCCTCTCGACACCCCCTTACGAGGAAGTTGTAGACTGCGATGAGGTCTCCCCTCAGCCTCCTCTTCTCCAGGCTGAACAGGCCCAGTGCCCTCAGCCATTCCTCGTACGTCTACAGATCTTAATATGTCTTTCAAGACCAAGTCTCCTGCTCCGCAGATTTCAGGGAAACTCCAAGTGTTGTAAAGAAGCTATTGTTCTGATCCCAAGAAGAGAGAATACACTACTGTAATGACCCAAGCAGTTCATTAAAGAAAGATGTTGAATGTTCTTTTGAAGAAGGCTCTTCTGAGTTCCAGCTAACATAAGGACTGAATACACTGTGCCACAGCATTGCAGGAAACTTGGTGGGGGCCAGGGGGGCTGACACAGGAATTTTCTGCAACTAGGAAGGCTCCTTGGAAAATGTAATTTTTCCAAAGTTCAGGAAATACCATCAGTTCAAAATTCTTAGCATTTTTAGTCATTTTATTCTGACTGGGATTACATAAATGAGAGTATTATTTGTCATATTGCTTCTCATGTACATTTTATTTTTTTTAACTTTCTTCTCCATCTTTGAAACTGCTTTTCTTCTTTACAGAAATGGTTGGGTTTTGTTTTTTTTTGAGTGTCCACAAGACAGCACTCACCACTATTTCAAGTTAGAAGTTGTCCTGTTCATAGTGTCTTGATATTCATAATCCACAAACTTCATGGACAGTTATAAATGCACTTAACTTTTGTGGTCTCCCTTGAAAAGATCCTGCAGAAGAAGCACAGGATGAATAGTAACACATTTCATCAAAGATGTGGTGATGATGGTAGTGGTGTTTAAAAAGAGTGAGACAGACTTGTTTTGTCCTATTCCAAGATAGAAAATGATGTTTAACAATAGATAAAGCATACAGGTACAGGCAGTGACACTTATAAAGGTCAATTAGAAATAAGGTCACATATAAAAAAAAAAAAAAAAAAAAAGGACATTTTGGATATACAGGAACGTGTGCACAGATTTTTTTTTTTTGCCTTTTTTTTGCCTTTTTTTTTTTTTGCCTTTGCTCCCCTCCTCCCCCCCCCCCCCCCCCCCCCCCCCCCCCCCCTTTTTTTTTAAGATCTGTCAAAGCTCTCTTAGTTAGCTAACTGTTTCTTCAGCATGGTGCCTATGTTTAGACACCATCTGTATGTCTATGTCATCTGTCTGTGCCTTTGCCAGCCTGTGTGAGACTGAGCATGCAGACACCTACCACTTGATCCTTGCCGAGGCGGTGAGCTAGCATCCATGCTCTCCTACTGTGGCATGAGCTGTCTGGATGAGGTGCTGAATCACAAAGCAGGTTCACTCTTTTGAGATCTGCACATTTGTCATCCTACTAGAGCTGAAACTGTCCTCACAAACGTTCTCTCAAACATCTGTTTGGATACACGTAAAGTAATAAACAGCTGGGTGAACTAGACTGGAACAGCAGTTGAGAATCTGCCATCCCACAGCAGCTGTTCCCAGGAACACTGATGTCTCACTCAGTATCTTCTGCTTAATACATGTCAGATGTCAAATATGTTAAGCAGGCTATCCATGCAAGCAGTGCTGGTGGAAAAGTGGTTTGTGCTTGGTATTTTCATCTTACTTTGTTTCCAATGAATTTCTTCCTGTAGCTGGAATCAAAGACAATAAACTGTAAGCTCATTTCTTGTTCAGTTCTTGTTCACAGTAACCATTCATGTTCAGACAAATTGCATGCGGAGGGGAAGACAACTACCAGTGCTTCCGCCTAATTAAATTTTATCTCCTGGAGTTCTTCTGAAGCTGCTTAATGCAAATAATCTCCTTCAGAGGAATTTAGGATGGACTGAGAATTTGCAGTGTGTTAGGTTTTCTAAAAATCAAATATACTGAAACAAAAAATATTAATTTAACTTTGAGTTTGTTCCATGATGATACATCTGAAGTCTTAAAAGTTCCCGCTGCAGCCATCACACTATTTGACTGCTTACAAAAAAATATATTTGCCGTGTACAGCTCGTGTTAATACACATTCAAGATTCTTTAGCAAATAGGAAATAGGTGATTTTCCGAAAATACCAGTAGAGGTAAAAACAATTCTTTCTGTTTGTACTTGTAGTCTGATTTTCAGTCAAGTGGGACTCTTCTTATTACACAGTAGAATATTTACAATCTCTAAGAATAGTTGAATAAAAAATGTAACTTCGTTGGAGAGAGAATTTCTATTACAGAAATTCTACACAGTTCATAGATATAACTTAAAAAGTAGCTGCTTGCCCAAGACCCCCTTTGGTTGCTCTGAACATAGAACACCGAGTGAATCAATTCTCAGTCTCTGATTTCTGCAGATTCTATTACTTGTTTAAAGAAACAAGCAACATGGAAAAGTTAATCACTTGGCAGGTTATTAGATGCTAAAATCCAATTCTGTTCAGCTTCCCTAATGTTTATCTATAGTAACTTTGCTCAGTCTTGGTGAATTATTTTGGATGTGTATCTGTAGAACCATCCCTGCAACATCATAATCTTGCCTGTTGGTATCAATGGGTGTTGCAAATGATATTTGACCTGATTTTCATTTACTAATAAACTATTGGTTGTATTGGATAAATTACCAAACAAGGTCTGCAGCTGAAAGCTTAGTCTGTATGTTAATTATAATATATAATTAAATAATTTTCCAACTGAAATAAAATAACTTTCCAATAAAGGATTCGCACACTTACTACACCCTACCTATACTTTGGTTTGGTGTCACTGGTGTCCAGTGACACCAAAAACCAGCTACTGGTTTTTCTTTTTTCAGGGCATCCGGGTCAGAGCATTAATCCTGATCAACCCTCACAATCCCTTAGGGGACATTTACCCAGCACAATTACTGAAGGAATGTCTAGACTTTGCACACAGGTTTGAGCCCCAGTGCTATTTGTTTGGTATTTAATTTTCCATTATGCAATATAGCAGTGATGAAAAATCACTTTTGATGATCTCCTGTTCTCTGTACATGTTCTGAGGAGGTGTTGTGCTAGGTCCTGAGCATGGCTTTTGTGTAACTTTCTTTTTTGCTTGGCTTTCCTGGGAACACTGGAATAAATTGCTTAGGATGGAGTCCAACAGTTAGTTTCGGGATGAAATGCTGTTGTGTCTGTTCTCAGCATGACCCGTGGCTTTCAGGATGCAATCAGCATCACCTGCACTACTTGGGTGTTTAAAAGTGTTCTGCAATTTATTCAGTATTTCTAAACACACGCATGGCTTGTTAGCAGTTGATTACTGACAACATGGCTTACTGTTTACTGCTGCTTTCACAGCAAAAGTGTATTAGAGAGTTATCTTAAGTGCATGGCAAGTCTTATTTTTTAATCTAACATCTGCATTTGGGCTCAAGTCTCACTAAACAAATTTTTCAAAGGGATTTTATAACATACTGTTGTGTTCACTTGAAGCTGTAAATAAGAGTTGGATGGGACCACAGTATGCCTGAGAACTTTTTGATTGAACGTGCTGTTGGATGTTGTTTTAGATGTAGGGAGTGTTATTGCTGCTGAGAAATACGGAATATGTATAGATAAATGTTGGTAATGAGCAAGTGCTCACAGCATGTCTTGTGACCGTAGAACCTTGTGACCTGTCTTTGTAAAATTAATATGGTGGATATAATAGCAAATAGGCATGCTTATGGTACTACATGGCAGTAGTTAAGATTACATGTATATGTATATATATATATACATATGCAAATAAATTTCCTTTACATGTGTTAACGTGCCTGTGTTTTTCTCTATTTAGATATGAATTGCATGTAATCATGGATGAAATATACATGTTATCTGTTTATGATGATATCACCTTCACCAGTGTCCTTAGCTTAGAAAGGTAAGTGTGATTTCTTAGCAGGGGTTAGAAGATATTTACTCCTGAATAGAACCTATGCCTTTTTTTTTTTTTTTTCCTTTTCATTTTTCTGGTTAGCTAGCATAACTAGTATAGATCTAACTCATATCCAAGTCTCTGTGACTTGATGAGACTAGTGAATCTAGGATCTTCATCCTAGACTGACAGATGGCAGATCTGCTTGCAGCTAATCTCCATGGTATGGTAACAGTAATCAAAAAATGTCAGAGCCCTTAATCATCTTGCCACTGCTTTTTTGTTGTTGCTTTTGCCTGGTCTGAGTACAAGGTTCTCATTGTAATGCTCAAGAAGTTGCCTAAAGTTGTGCAAGTCACCCACTATAACGAGCCTCCTTCCTGACAAGTATGCTGTTGGGCTCTTAGTTTCCTCTGACAGATTATGAAAAGAATAAAGGTTTCAAGAATATTTAAACCTATTGGTATCTGAACAATAAAACTTCTTTCCCTAAAAGTATGCAGTTGTCTTTGTATAACTGCATAAATCTCGCACTGAGGGGAAATTTCCAGGTCCGTCCAAATACAACCAAGCACAGGGAGCCACTGGGTATTGTCACCCTCACAAGATCCTGAACCATAAATAAAGCTTTAAAAAATATTGTTTGTTTTTGTGAAAGTTCACTCAGCTTCCTTAGGCTGAAGAAGGGAGTTTCCAGCCTCAGGCCTATTTACACAAAGTTAAACAAAGGACAAAAACTATCTTCTTTAGCAGTCCACTAAAGTGTATTTTGTTCAGTTGTAAATGCATGATCTAAAATGTTCATGTCCCCCTTCCCTAGCCTGAAGTGCAGCAGAGTTGAGCAAAGAATTCCTCTCCACGAAGAGCCACCTTGCATCCCCTATCGAAATACTGCTTTTGTTTTAATATTGGTGTGACCATTGACTATGCAGTGGGATTCTGGGAATTGTAACTGGACTGCTATATCATAGTGGAAATCCTTTTCTGTTATAAGAAGTCAGTGCCTGAGCACTTAGGAGATCAGTATCATAGGATAATGTTCTGTTACAAGGATTCTGAAAAAAGCTATGTCACGTGAAAAAGTTATATACTAATTTTACTAAAAATGAATGATAATTTTACACATTTAAGCATTTTGCCAAAACTTCATAACTTGTTCTTCTGTAACACGTCCTTTTCTGTTATTCAGTTTACCAGATCCAGAACGTACTCATTTTATGTGGGGTTTTAGCAAGGTAGGTCAAAATATTATCTCTGTGTTTTAATTTAAGATATTTCAACACAAAAATCAGTTGGCCTGTTTGAACATAAATTGTATTATAGATACAAAACCAAGCTTTTATTTGTTTATTAATTTGTTTTCTCCTTTGGTGTTCTAAAATTTGTTATAATTCAGAGTTTCTTATGAGCAAAAATGTCCATATGTTTGAACATTTGAGGTACTACGTATAACCTGACATCTACTACAGACAGGGATTCATTTGATACTTCAGTGGTTAGGCAGTGTTCTGGCTGTTTGTTTTGCTGTCATTTGGGGATGGAGCAGACTCCTGCAAATGTACTCCGTACATTAAAATGGTCATTTCTAGAAACGGCACAGTATGTCAGTATTTTTAACCTTAATGTTACCGTACATCCTACGCTTCTTGGGCTTGATCTTTCATTCTGTTTGGTTAACAGCTTTCTTGTCTTTAATGGGGCTTCCCCTCAATGAGAAGCTAAATGCTAAATTTATGAATATTAAGCATCTTTCATCAGCGTTAATGCAGAAATACAGTAAGAACTGTATTGATAGATTTTTTCACCAAGCTGGTAGTACAGGCTAAGCAACTTGCAATAAGAGAATTCAGGATTTCATGCTTTGCACACTGAACCATATGGCTTCCTACTTAGGGACTCAGTGCAAATTTATATTAATAAATATATGCTATTGCATCCTTACGTAGCTTTTGGAAACACTTCTGAACAGTGACTGTTGCAGAACACAGACTTCCGTAGGCACTATTGACAAAACTTAGCCCAAATGTATTCCAAAGTTATTCGTTGTATTGTCTTGTCTGTTCTCAGTAGTTTTTGGATTCTTACTGTGTTATCCAATATTATTTTTGTAGGATAGGAAAACTATTTGGCCTGATGATGGGCTAACATACTTTTTTGAGATCTTTTTTCCTGTATATCACAATGACTTTAAACTTGGTGGCTTGATAAAGCACAAGCATAAAGTAAAAATTATACCTCTCTATCTTCTTTTTGTCCTCAAAGGATTTTGGTATGTGTGGTATCAGAGTTGGAGTACTGCACACCACAAATCATGAAATTCAGAAAGCTGTTAATCAGCTGGCTGTCTTCCATAGCTGTCCTGGACCTGTTCAGCATGTTCTCAGTCAATTCCTTAAGGACAGAGGTTAGCCACCCTAGAAATGTTTCCACTGAGCTGTTTTGTTTTTGTTTTTCCATTACAGATGGAAGTAAAATAGGATTATATTTTTCTTGTTTTGATAGATTGGATGGATAATGTGTTTTTTCCCACCAATAAAAAGCGACTTAAGGAAGCACAGAAGCTCCTTGTGGATGGACTTGCAGATATTGGAGTACCTGTGCTCAAAAGCTCAGGAGGACTCTATGTGTGGGCAGACTTCAGAAAAGTATGTGAGAAGCTTAGAAAGTGGTGGGGATGTGGAAGTGGGAAATGTGAAAATTACTTGTGCATGTTGTTACATACTTTAATACCAGGTCCTGAAAAATCCTTTCAATTTGTATACTTGTTCAATCTTTAATAATATATTTTTTTCTTCTTTTAGTTCTTAAAATCACAGACATTTGAAGCTGAACTCGAACTATGGCAGAAGCTCCTTGATAAGAAACTCCTGATTAGTCCTGGAAAAGCTTTTTGTTGTTATGAGCCTGGATGGTTTAGATTGGTTTTCTCCAATTCTGTAGATAAGATTTACTTATGTAAGTTGCTTTACTTCTAATATGTCATGTGACAGCATGCAAGTTCTCGAGACATTAACATCACAAACAATGAGTTCAAATCTACTTCTCCCTTCTCAGGTTGTAAGGGTCATTATTATAGTTTGTAGGAAATGGGAAATAATATGTTGGCTCAGAGCACAGGTTACAAAGCACTTCTGTTGGGTTATATGAAACCTTTAAAATTTACAGAATTTCATTTTAAGTTGTTTTTCCTATATCAGGAGTCAAGCAGTCAAATTCTTTGTCAAAGGCTCACTCCTCTTGAAGATTACCCTTTATATTAAGTGGGAATTCTTCAGCACCACAAATATTTATGTGACTCATGTGGGATATGAAAAAGCTATCCATCCTTTGTGCTGTAAAATACTTAATCTTGAATGAATGCTGTATGTTTTTGGCAAAAGAGATGACTGGAAGGTAATTGGAAGCATTTAGAGTAATACATCTACACCTTCCTCGTCAAAGCACGGCTGGATGCCAAGTAAGATTTATTGGGGCCTTCTCCAGTCAAATTTTGGGACTGTCCAAAGATGGAGAATAAAGAGCCACACTGAGCAACCTGTTCCTATATTTTAGCCATTCTCATGGTGAATGTTTTTTCCCATGTGTTTTTAGAGAACAAAAAAAATCACTTATTTAAGAAAAGAAAAGCTTGAACTGAGATGTTTTTTGCTTTCGCAGGTATTAAGAGACTTGAAGAAATGCTACACACCAATGATGCTGAGCCAGTTCCAAACAACGCATCCTCATTAACAAAACACTCAGAACAAGATCATTATTTGTCATTATTATTAAAATAAATGCATAAATAGCACAGCAAGTGACTAGGTCCATTCCCTTTTACTTACACAACTTGTATGACTACAGTAAGCTTTAGGACCCCAAGTGAATGTGGAAATTGTATTCTTGATAGTAATATGGCCTTTGCACTCATATTCATGTCATTTAAGCTTGGCAAGTTTACGCTGTTTGTGCTGAGAACATCAAGGTAAATTATCGTCCTTTCAGCAATAAAGTCTATAGAATCATAAAATAAGCGGAGGTTGGAAGGTACCTCTGGGCACTGCTGGTCCAGAACCCCTGTGTGGAGCAGGGTCAGCCTACAGCAGGATGACCAGGAACAGTGTCCACTTGGGTTCTGAGTATCTGCAAGGATGGAGGCTCCACAGCCTCTCTGAGCAGCCTTTCCCAGGCTTTTCTGCCCATTGCCTCTTGGCACTGGATGCCCTGAGAAGAACCTGGCTCCATCACCCCTATGCCCTCTTGTTGGGTATTTACAGAGAATGATGTTAGCTCCCAGAGCCTTCTCTTCTCCAGGCAGGCTGAAGAGTCCCAGCCCTCAGCCATTCCTCCTATGGCAGATGTTCCTGCCCCTTTGGCAACTCTGTGGAATTATGTCAGTGGGCCCATGTCTCTTTGTACAGGGAAACCCAGAGAAACATTCAGCCTGAAGAAGAGGAGGGCTGGGGGGAGGACTCCTAAATGTATAAATACTACAAAGGTGGCTGCAGAGAGGATGGAACCAGAAGCCCCCCTACCCAGTGTCACACTGGCCTTCGTTACACTACTTTCTAGCAGAGCAAAAGGGACTGTGTTGTTGCTTCTACATCAAAGTATTGCAAGGAGTTCCGGACCAGCACAGAATCAGACAGAAATACTACTGTTCACTAAATACCGGGGTGAGCTTGCCACGTCCTCATGTCAAGGTCTCCACTTAATCAGGGTGAGCCATAGGTCATTGTAAATAGGCTACACTTGACTTTACGGCCTAGAGAAGAAGGACATCGCAACATAAGTTGCTGTAATTACCCAATGGCACTTGTCACTAGCAAGAGCCTGATATGGATGCATTAATTTTCAACATACCATTTCTGCTTACCTCAGCAAGGGAGTGAACAAGCCTCAGCTGGGATCTGCAAACTTTGCAGGTAGGCAAGAAGCAGTTGCTTTTGGTTTTGCTTCAGTCTATGTACCTGCGTGTTTGCATTTCCTCCAGTGTGTGATCAGTTTCATCAGAGTGATCGTAGAGAAGAGAAGGGCGGAAAACCTCAGGGCTTACCTAGCAGTGGTCCCTTACTTAGCAGCTTGGAAGCAAAATTTGGGAACAAAGATCTAAGAAGACACTGAGTGTGAAACAGGAGGTGTTGGACTCGGCATCGTAGAAGGCTGTTTGCTCGCCTTGCTGCAGACACCGCACTGCCACCCCACCCTTGGCTCTAAGCAAGACATTCATAAAGGTAAGTGTTTCAAGAAGCTTTACTACCTGATACAGTTGCTTACCACCTCTGCTGATGTCCTACTGAACGTGTATTTAATTCTTACACGTATGCCGCGACTACTGTGTGCAGTCAGCCTTCACGGCTAGCTCGTACTGCAGAAGGGAGAGGCACACGGAGATCAGCCGGGTCTCCCAGCTAAAGGATTTGTCTTTGAGAAACGCTGGCAAAGTTTTCCCTTGGTCCCGTTTGCTATGCTGTCTGCAGTTGATTGTTGTTTTGAAGTTAGTAGCCACAAATTGTTTTGTCATATTTTGGAAGGTGGGAAATACAGGGAAGAAACAACCCAACACCGACCATGCTGTGTGAGGACTGTATGAAGGAAAGGTCTGTGCATCGGAAACGAACTTGGACGTGGGAAGCCCCTAACAAACGAAAGGATGAAGACCTGCTGACGTACTACCTGCGTTGTCAGGATGCAAAAAAGAGATGTTTAAATCAAGACCGGGAAAACTTTTTCCATCTGCCTGTTTCTGACTCAGTGATTAGAGGTAGGTGGAAAATGCTTAGTTCGCAGAGTCTCGTAATTTCAGATATAAAAATTCTATGACTAACAGGACAGGGTATTTTTGCTTTAATTCTTAGTGGCATGCAGAAATCTCAGCTTGGAAGATGGAAGATAGAGGTTCCCAAATCCTGCTGACATATTTCATATCCATTGCCACAAGCTGCCTTAAAGCATGATTTTACCAAAGTGTGATCTTATTAGAAAGAAAGGGATCATCTACTGTAGAAGACACTATGCAGATTGAAAAGGATTATCGGGGCTTAGTTCCTTAAGACAAAAACATGAATTCTTATTGATGTCACTTAGGGAAATACTTGTGTTAAGAAAAAGAATACCACGTTTGTATTTTGAACCTGGGTTGGTTCACAGAGCCAGCTTAAAAGAAGAAGCAAACAATGCTGATACATAGAGAAGGGATGTTTTTCAGCAAAGACGTGGTCACAAGGACCATGAAGGCAGGTTGTGTGGAGGCAAGGGCAGCAGAAACCTCTGCAATAGCTTTGCACCTAAAGAAAACCTGAACAGCTTTCTGAAAAAAAGAGGAATACTCCTTCTGTGCTCTCCCTGAAGGAAAGAGTTCAGATGATTTTGAAGGAGCCCATGTTGCCATATGGAAGCAAACAGATGCTTGGGTTCACTGCTGTGAGTCAGAGAGAGGGCCAGCACCCAGCATTGCAAAATTTTGTAGTTTTCATATAAAAACAGACTTTGTCCACAGGTGGGTTCCAATTGTATTTATTTTTCATTCAACAGACATTAAAGTACTTCAGGCATTCATCAAGAAGTATGAACCACGTGGAGCCACTTTTAGCAAAGAAGAAGTTGTTATCATCAGTGAAGACTAAATAAAGTTTGCAAACTGAGATCATCAATGTACCCATACTACGATGGAGACTCAAACTAAGTCAATGTGTTTCCGTGTGGTGGAGATAACCAGAATTACTTAATTACGTTAATTTGGAGAGACATACTTAAGTAGATAAGAGATGCACCAATTCTATCTGTGTGATAATCAATTAAAACCGTAATTTGGTTGTATAATCTTTCTAATCCAACAGCTGTGGAGAGGAGGTAAAGCTACAGTACTACAGCTACACTTATTTTTGTTCTCACTACTGTAAGACCAGGAAGGATTTGTTAAGCAGTATATACAAGATATCAGTAACCACAATAAATGTGTCCAGTCTGCATTTCCCTTCTCTTTCCAGCATTTCTTTTGGAGAAGAAAAGCTTGAACTGAGATTTGTTCTGCTTTCTGAGGTATTAAGAGACTTTAAGAAATGCTGCACACCAGTGATGCCGCACCAGTTGCAAACAACAAATCCTTTCCTGCTGACACTTTATGCAATCCAAAAAGCCTGCACTTCTCCTGGCAAACCTTCAAACACACCATGCGATGATGTCTCCCAGCTAAAAAATACACTTGTTTATTGAAATCATACATGCATGTCATGATTTGATGAAATTAATCATGTTTATGTTTACTAAAGGAGTGTATATCTTCGGTATGTTCTGCTGTAACCTTGCGTAATAGTCTCACTTTGTTGTGGCCTGGAATTACTGGACTTGCAAGTGGACTTGAAGGAAACTGAGCCTCCTGGGTGCTCTGAAATTCACCCCTGCTAAGTACAGTCCTCAGTTTTATTCCATTTCAAGTATGCTCATTGTCAGTGAAATCAGTAAGTCATACATATATATTTGCACACTTGTTGGGTTATGAAATTTGGAACACACCGACAAAAATTGGTGCTCCTATTACTGTGTACCAGGGACTCTATACGTTAATCATGAGACTAAACATACTGATCAGGTGATATTTAAATTTTGTTATTTTGTTTTGGTAGCTGGTGAAATGTCTTTGTATATTCTTGGGATCATACGCATCTTACAACACCAAATACATCTTTCTGTATATGTCTGCTAGTGAGGACTGTTTGAGAAAGCCTTCAGATTTTTGCCTTCCAGGATCCCCTTCAGATTACTTCTGTGTGCCTGTATTCACTGCAAACAATCAGCCTCTTCAATCATATTTTCATACATTAAATGCAATAAAACCTTGTTGATCTGTAACTTATGCTCATTTGACAGAGTCAAGGGGAAACTATTGCTTCTTCTTTTTCATTTTCTTTCTTTCTGTTTTTCATTAAATAATTTACCAAATTATTTTGCAGTTTGCTGCATGGTTTTGGTTTGGTATGCAAAATCTGGAACTGCAGAATTAACACTTCTGTGAGCGGGAGGATCCCAAGTGAATGTGGTAGTTGTGCTCTTGATAGTAATATGGCCTTTGCACTCATATTCATGGCATTTAAACTTGGCAAGCTTACGCTGTTTGTGCTGAGAACATCAAGGTAAATTATCGTCCTTTCAGCAATAAAGTCTATAGAATCATAAAATAAGCGGAGGTTGGAAGGCACCTCTGGGCACTGCTGGTCCAGAACCCCTGTGTGGAGCAGGGTCAGCCTACAGCAGGATGACCAGGACTGTGTCCACTTGGGTTCTGAGTATCTGCAAGGATGGAGGCTCCACAGCCTCTCTGAGCAGCCTTTCCCAGTGTACGATCACTCTGAGAGTAAAAAGAATTTTTCTTGTGTCTAAAGAGTTTTCTTGTCTCCTTTTCTACCCATTGCCTCTTGGCACTGAATACCCTGAGAAGAGCCTGGCTCCATCTTCCCTATGCCCTAAGCAGCCTATTTTCTAGCAGAGCACAAGGGACTGTGTTGTTGCTTCTACATCAAAGTATTGCAAGGAGTTCCGAACCAGCACATAATCAGACAGAAATACTACTGTTCACTAAATACCGGGGTGAGCTTGCCATGTCCTCATATCAAGGTATCCACTTAATCAGGGTGAGCCATAGGTCATTGCAAATAGGCTATACTTGACTTTACAGCCTATAGAGGAAGGACATTGCAATAGAAGTTCCCATAATTATCCCATGGCACTTGTCACTAGCAAGAGCCTGATATGGATGCGTTAATTTTCAACATACCATTTCTGCTTACCTCAGCAAGGGAGTGAACAAGCCTCAGCTGGGATCTGCAAACTTTGCAGGTAGGCAAGAAGCAGTTGCTTTTGGTTTTGCTTCAGTCTATGTACCTGCGTGTTTGCATTTCCTCCAGTGTGCGGTCAGTTTCATCAGAGTGATCGTAGAGAAGAGAAGGGCAGAAAACCTCAGGGCGTACCTAGCAGGGATCCTTTACTTAGCAGCTTGGAAGCAAAATTTGGGAACAAAGATCTAAGAAGACACTGAGTGTGAAACAGGAGGTGTTGGACTCGGCATCGTAGAAGGCTGTTTGCTCGCCTTGCTGCAGACACCACACTGCCACCCCACCCTTGGCTCTAAGCAAGACATTCATAAAGGTAAGTGTTTCAAGAAGCTTTACTACCTGATACAGTTGCTTACCACCTCTGCTGATGTCCTACTGAATGTGTATTTAATTCTTACACATATGCCACGACTACTGTGTGCAGTCAGCCTTCATGGATAGCTCGTACTGCAGAAGGGAGAGGCACACGGAGATCAGCCGGGTCTCCCAGCTAAAGGATTTGTCTTTGAGAAACGCTGGCAAAGTTTTCCCTTGGTCCCGTTCGCTATGCTGTCTGCAGTTGATTGTTGTTTTGAAGTTAGTAGCCACAAATTGTTTTGTCATATTTTGGAAGGTGGGAAATACAGGGAAGAAACAACCCAACACAGACAATGGATAGTTGGGATGAAAGGCATGAGTCGAGGAGAACTGGCTGGATGGAGCAAGCCCCTGAGAAACAAAATAATGAAGACCTCCTGACATACTACCTAGATCGTCAGGATGCAAAACAGAGATGTTTATGTGGAAAGCAGAAAACCAACTATTTCCCTCTGCCTCGTTCTGTCTTCATGATTACAGGTAGGTGGAAAATGCTTAGTTCGTAGAGTCTCGTAATTTCAGATATAAAAATTCTATGACTAACAGGACAGGGTATTTTTGCTTTAATTCTTAGTGGCATGCAGAAATCTCAGCTTGGAAGATGGAAGACAGAGGTTCCCAAATCCTGCTGACATATTTCAGATCCATTGCCACAAGCTGCCTTAAAGCATGATTTTATCAAAGTGTGATCCTATTAGAAAGAAAAGGAACATCAACTGTAGAAGGCACTACACAGAGAGTGGGGCAGCACCCAGCATTGCAAAATTTAGTAGTTTTCATATAAAAACAGACTCTCTCCACAGATGAGTTCATAATACTTTTATCTTTCTTAACAGACATCCAGACATCTAAGGAGATCATCAGGAAACGTAAATCAAATGGACGTTTTATTAGCAAAGAAGTTATTTTCACCGATGAACAGACTGAATATTTCAGACCAATTTCACCAGAGAACCGTAACCTCACTGATGCCACAAGCCTAGTGCAAGAACAGGGGAGACAAGCAGCAAGCAGTGGTAGCACACAGTCCCAAAGCACAGACTTTAGGGTGCCTTCTGGAGACAGACCAACATCAAAATCTTCAGCCAGAAGGGCTGAACCAACAGATTTGTGTGATCTCGCTGAAGGTATGTGCCTCTGCCTGGGCAAGACAGAGACAATTATCAATTATAAAATTATGTTGTCAACAGTAGCATCATTCTGTGGTGGGGAGCATACACGAAGAACTATTAGTGGTGTAACTGCAAAAGTATTTCTTGGCACATCACGTCCATCGTTCCTAGAAGCATTTGTCTATAGGTGCGACTCCTTCCACATGTGCTGCTTGGGCTCCTGTTGGCAGAGCTCTGGTCAATAACAAGCAGCCAACATGTGCACTTTTAGTCTTTTTTGCTTATTCTTTGATGGAAGGGGAAGCATACACAAAACAGTGAATCATTTCTGGTTAATGTTAAATCACTGCTAGTTAATGTTTCAGCTGGACTAGCCCCTTCCCCCTTATCATTACAGTATGTGTATATTCCAGACATATCCTTGGGCTGTACTTCTCACTGAATGTTTCCTAAGATCTTTAAATCCAACCTTCTTGTACTCTAGCTTAGCTTGGATTTGCACTCCCCTGCCTATGAAAATGAATGCCTCACATTTAAGGGCATTGAAGAAAATATAACCACAGGTCTTACTCCGGACAAAAGCACAGAAATATGTTTGTGAAATGGGTTTGTGCTCAGAAATCCTGTAATGTCTCTCTCATGAGGAGTCAAACAAATGTCCTGTTTGAGTTACTGACATAAATTTGTAGAGACATACTCAGGTAGCTAAGGGATGTACCAATTCCATCTGTGTGATAATCAATTAAAACCATAATTTGGTTGTATAATCTTTCTAATCCAATACCTGTGGAGAGCAGGTAAAACTACAGTACTACAGCTACACATATTTTTGTTCTCACTACTGTAAGATGAGGAAGGACTTTGTTAATCAGTATATACAAGATATCAGCAACTGCAATAAATGTGATCTTTGTTCTGTGTAGTATATGCCTTGTGAAGTTAAAGACCAAAGTCTTCATTAACTCCAAGCAAGATTAGGAATGGATACCTGAGGCTGTTTCTAAAATGCTGGGCCCAGCTCCCGATCTACATGTGCATCAATGCTTTGACAGCACAGGACTGCCATGAATCATGGCAAAGTAGCTTGTGTTCAGCATTCATAGGGGCACCCAGCCACCATTCGGTATTAGCCCAAGCTGCCAATTTCTGAGTGACTAGTCAGCACTGAACATACAAAGAAAGTAAATAAAGGGCCCATAACACCATTCTAGAGTTGCTGGTGAATGCCTTGTTAGGGAAATACTGAAATGGGATGTGTGCCTTGCAGCCACAGCTCTGTGTGTTGCTTGTACACCTGTGGGGAGAAATACCCACCCAGGGGTCCTGCCCCTTGGCATCTCCCCTGGGGTTCCTGATGTTTTTTTCATGGGGGACTCACAACAACAACAAAAACAAAACAAACAAACAAAAAGGCAGAAACATTTCAGTCTTTCTCCATGCATTCTTGGCATAGCATGATTGTTTTACTCATGACTTTTATTGCATCGATGAAATACTGTAATGACATTGTCTACATTGTCTCCCTAGATTTCAGCAAGAAGGTCTACTGGCTTGCAGCAGTTTGTCTCCTTGTAACCGTGGGAGCTCTGTGCTGGTAAGTTCGGGCATTGTGCAATCCCTCATGCACCAGCATCTCTTGTCAGCAGTGTGTCATGGTTAGGCTAAGCTCTTGGCTGTCTGGGGGCCAGAGGACAGCTGCTGCTTGTGTGCTCGTAAGGGAAATAACAGGTAATGGGAGCTTCATGACAGCTGTGTCACAGCGAGTTACAGCCTTATGTAATTTGTGCATTTGAGCAGTGTGGTGATCCCTCAGCCTCCTCCCAGCTCACTTCTCACAGGAACATGGGCTTGGAGTGATTCCTTTTTTTTTGCAGTTAAAAGATGGAGATCCAGAAGTCCAAGTTTTTGGCAGATTAAGTTAACTAGTTAAGCAAGGAAAATAAGAGGGGCTGCTTTACACCCCAACTGCAATTGTAGTCAGCCTGATTTGCACAAATTGAGCAATACAGGCTGCTGCAGTGACTAGCTCACCTCCTGTGTGGCAGGTAAGCAGCTCCTGGGGAAGTCCCTGGTGGTTTTTTTGCAGGTTTCTGTGACATGAACTGTCACAGAACTAGCATATCTACTGGTGAAGGTGGCATACAAGTGGAGAATGTAGCAACACAGGGGAAACGAGACTACCCACCATGCCTATTAAAGGGGCATTTTCAATTTGAAAGGAAGGGAGAATTGCTTTGTCTGCATAAACATTCTCATCTTCAGCACATCGCCTCCAGACAGCACCAGAGATGATCACAGGCACATACTTTTGAATCTGTTATTGCTTATCACTGTTATTTGTCTGTTACTGTTCATCAACCACCTCTGCCACTTAAATTCCTTGCTCCGAGTTGTCCAGGAATTGTGGATGTGGAGACCTGGGTCTGAGGAGCATGCAAAGCAGGATGAAGGCAGCAGCACTAAGCATAAGTGACAGGGCTGTACTTATCCATTGACACTCTGGCAATCTGTAGTGCCCCATGGACATGCTGAAGTGCACATTTTGTGGTCA